GCACTCACGCAACGGACAAAGCAAACTCCAGCCCGCAGCTGAGGGTCCGCAGCAGGAGAGAAGATGCGGGCGCCCATTGTAAGTGTGGGGCGTGGGGGCTGGGCCGGGCCGTGTTTTAGTGGTGACTCCCGGAGTTCTGACGTCAGAGGCCACACCTCCACCCGCCCTGGCATCGGGTGTCAAGGCACCTGCTGGGCTTGTCTCAGTGTTTGAACTTGCGTGGGCCCCAGGGAAGGCAGGTCCTGCAGGAAGAGGGGGGCGCAGCCGGGGGCGCCTTGCCCCTCAAAGGCCAGACCCCTGCACTGGCTCCCGGGGCTGGGCCTGGGGCCCCAGGTGCCTCTGGGGTCTGGTCTCGGCTGATGCGCCTCGTGACCGCCCTGCCAGCGACTGCCCAGCTTGCACTTTTTCTCTAAAACCCGTGATGCGGCTCAGGGGTCAGAAAGGCGCTTAGCAAATGCTTCCCTCCAACTTGGCCCTTCTGGCTGCAGAGGGTGCCCAGCGCAGCCTGGGGGGCAGACCCGCCTGGGACCCGTTCCCGAGCCCCTGGCTGTGGAACTTGGGCCAAGTTTCAAATTCATTCTGTTTCTCGAGTGAAGATCTCATGACTTAAGACTGAGGAAGTGCTCAGAACAGTGCTTGGCACACACGTGAAGTGCTTAACCGCAATTCTCTATTGTGATTATGATTTATTATTATTATTATTAAACAGCTTCCCAAGTGCCTGGGGGCACCTGGCATATTTGATACCTGGGGTGGTCATTTTTAAATATCCCTCTCCTTCATCTGACAACATGGTTTTCAGTAATAATAATGAAAGGAATGATAATAATGAATAGTCATAATAAACAGTAAAACTTTTCTTTTATGGAGCTTTGTCTATGAACGCATGCCAGTGAAAAAATAAAAAAGTGAAAAGTAAATGTTATAGAGAAAAATAGAAAAAAGTAATGGATTACTTGATAGGTCTTAATTGCTTTAACGTATTTTTGAAAAAAAGTTATTCTTATACAGGCTGGTCACAGGAAGGAATTAACATTACAGTTTCTGTTTTGTAACTTTAACTTCTGAAAAATTGCCCATGACTTTGTCAAAGTTGTTCTTCTTAAAGAAATTTTAAAAATTATTCTTTGCTTATTAATGTCCACAATTCAGTAGAGCTAACTTGTCAGTTCGTCATTGCTCACAGTTGATTGAAGAACACTTTTTATTAATTTTAATTTCAAAAGCTTCTCTCATATGAAACAACAGATATACAAATAGGAAAGGCCATAAACATTAGGGTAAGTTTGTCAAAGATTCATTAAAAACCCCATTTCATAATACACTCCAGAAATTGCAATACTGCCTATATCTTCTGAAAAATCAATTCTGGTGGCTCTTAAATACCTCCACATTTGAAACATTTTTATTAAAACATCTTCACCAGAAAAATCATCATAAGTTTTTATCTTATTTGGCAAAATTCTCCCATGTTGTTTTTTTTTTCTGCAAAAGCCAGAGGAGATGGCTGAGTGATGGAGACACTTGTTTAATCCGTTGCTTTCAAATGAGAGTCTAGTTCTTGGTGGAAATGACCCAGGTTTTCAAACACTTCCGTTTGGGTTTCTTGGGGCACTGGGCAAGCAGCCTCTTTGTCTTGTCTCAGCACAGGAAGATGCTGGCGACACAAACCCTGTCCAAAGGGAGCTCAGACCCTGCTGAGCTGTTGGGGAAATTACCTTTGTAGCTGAGCGTGTGCTGGGGGCTGACTGTCTAACCCAGCGGTTCTCAACCTTCTGGCCCTTTAAATACAGTTCCTCATGTTGTGACCCAACCATAAAATTATTTTCGTTGCGACTTCCTAACTGTAATGTTGCTACTGTGATGAATCGTCATGTAAATATCTGATCTGCAGGATGGTCTTAGGCGACCCCTGTGAAAGGGTCGTTCGACCGCCAGAGCGGTCGCGACCCACAGGTTGAGAACCGCTGGTCTAACTGTTTGCTCTGATTAAACTTCCATGTCGAGGACAGGGTTTCAAAGAATAAGAAATAAAAACAGGCTAGCTTGAGGCTCACATCTATATTATCAAATCTCAGAAATACAACTTAAATCTGCAGAAATAAAAACTTAGGGCGACAAAACCGCTTTGGGGAGAGTTGTGTTTTATCGCTGATGGCCTCTAAAACTGTCAGCATGTGGAGATGACAAACAGGACACTGACGTCTCATGTGTCTTATTATTGCTTTGAAATTCTCCACGGACAGCTCACTCTCTTTGCATCCAGGGAATACGGTTGGCACCTCCCGCGCTGGGTGTGTCACTGCCCGGCTCTTAGGGCTTGACAGAGGTTAACTGTTGGTACAGCAGCTCCCCAGACCACCCTGGGATGGAGAGGCTGTGGTCTGTGGTAGGGCCCTGGGTTCCCTAAGCCCTCTGTCCAGCTCTGGACGCCTCCCAGTCAGTGCCAGTGCTGGTGTGTCCCTGATTCTCTCCTGTCTGTTCCAAATGTGCTTAGAGTAAGTGGGCCAGGAGCCTCTGTCCCCCCTCCTCCATCCCCTGTTCCCCCCACTCCTACCCTCTGTCCTTAATCTTTGTCTTGTTGAGCAGCTGCTGCTGGGGAAGTGAATATCCAAGTGAAACTGAGAGTCTAGAACATGAGGAAATGGGTGGGCCTGGTCTGGTCTCCGACTTTCTGGACCCACTACTCTCTGACCCCCCGTTTGCCTGGTCTCTGCGGAGCTACCTAAGGAGCAAAGAGGGGCAGGGAGAAGAGGACCCTCCTCAAAGAGCAGTGGGGCTTCCGGCCCTGCAGAGTCCCCCCGCTCCCCTCCTCTCCCGCCCCTCCCTGGAGGAGCCCAGGCTGGGAGGGCCGCAAGCCTCTGCTGAGAACTGTGTGTGCCAGGCTGGCGGCTCAGCCTAGCTGGCGGGCTGGGCATGGAAAGTGATCACTCCTTCCCGGGGCTCAGCCCATAGAGTCACTGGACAGCGGGGCTGTGGCTTTGGAGGCAGCAGCGACTCTGAGCTGGGCTTCGGGGAGGCAGTGAGGGTGGAGACGCTGAGCCTGTCTTGAGGGATGAGTAGGAGTTTGCCAGGGAACAGCCAAGAGAATTTCAGGCCTCAAGTACAAGGATGCAAAGGCAAAGTGTGCCATGGGGCTGTCATCGGATTACAGGGCCTTTGTGTGAATTGGGTGGCATTGGGGAAAAGAGCTTGGCCTTGGGACCTGGCACTACCTCTCGGAGAGCTCTGAGACCTTGGGCAAGTGACTTCCCATCTCTGAGCGTTTTCCTGGTGAGCTGGACCGCTGTCAGGATCCAGATATGTGTGACAACCCCAGCAGTGCCTGGTGGGGATGGAGGTGGTTTCCAGATGAGTCCGGGGCAGTCCCGATTCACGTGGGGTGGGGTTGGACATATAGAACAGACCTGTGGCCTGGAGAGCAAGAGCCTGGGAGGGTGGATGAGTTTTTTTCCCAGAATACCCGTGACCTTTGGGCCGTTGGGGCTCGGCCGGGTGCCTGCTGGAGCTGACACTGTCCCTTTCCCAGCAGCTGGCAAGGGCAGAGGTAATGTGTCAGCCCAACTCCTCCTCCATCTTCTCTCTGGGCCTGAGGCTGGGGGGGCTGGGCAGTCAGGTCTCCTCATCACGCTCCCTGCACCCACCCCGCCTGGGGCACAGGTCTCAGCCCTCTCCTGGGCACAAGTAGTTCTACAACTTTCCCCTGTTATCTTATTTTCCACACAGACCCTGCCTGTTGGATCTTAATAGCCCTGTTCTGCCAGAGAAGCTCAGAGAGGTTAAGTGACTCCTAGAGGTCACACAGCAATATTGCTGAGAGGGCCTCAGTCGTGGCTGGACTGTGGAAGGCAGCCTCAGACAGCCGGGATGGACAGCCAAGTGCTCAGGGCTTTCTTCTCTTCCTAGGACGCCGTCACGGAAACTCTCCTCTCCCAGCTGGCCAGTCCTTCCCAGCACCCACCTGGGACTGCAGTCCTTTTTGTTTTGAAATCCCCAGCTTCTAGACATTTGCCCAGAGTGTGAGAAACGCAGGGGATGAGGCTCAGCGTTGCCGCACTCACACAGCAGGGAGGTGAACTTGCTCCCAGATTGGGTTTCACAACATCCCGAGTGTCTCCAGCTAGTCCCGGAACTGCCTCCGACCTTTCCAAGTCAAAAATAGAACAGTGGCAGCAAACCCGCCATCTGTGGCCTGGCTGGGGAGTCCGTTGTTTAGAGCATCCTCCCGACTCGCCAAGGTTCTGGGTTCGATCTCCAGTCAGGACACATACAGGAGTCAACCAATGAGTGCACAGATAAGTGCAGCAACAACTCCACGTCTCTTTGTCTCTCAAAATCAAACAAAACAGCCAGCACCGGTTTGGCTCAGTGGATAGAGCGTCGGCCTGTGGACTGAAGGGTCCCAGGTTCGATTCCGGTCAAGGGCATGTACCTTGGTTGCAGGCACATCCCCAGTAGGATGTGTGCAGGAGGCAGCTGATCGATGTTTCTCTCTCATCAATGTTTCTAACTCTCTATCCCTCTCCCTTCCTCTCTGTAAAAAATCAATAAAATGTATTTAAAAAAATGTTACAAAACAACAACAACAACAAAACAAACAAAACCCCCTGGTGCCTCTAGCATGCGCCCTCCGTGCTGGGCGGTACTTGCTGGGTGTGTCATGGGTATGAACTTATTTGATCGTCAGAAGAACCCCAGGAATCAGGTGCTCTCAGGACTCCCATTTTACAGTGGAGGAAACAGAGGCCGGGCGAAAATGAGTAGCTTGCCCCAGACTATCTAGTTAGTCAGTAGCAGAGCCGGGATTTGAACCCAGGCTGCCTGGCTCTGAGCCCCGGCTGTGACCAGTGCACTGTTTCTGAAGACTAAATCCACCTTGACTGAAACACAGCCCACTCGCTGCATTTTTTCTACGCCGGAAATATTTCATTACAAGACCCAAGTGGCAGGCGCCTGACGGTGGGGCTAAGTGGGGCCGAGTGTGGGTGGACTGGAATACTTCCTAGTGAAAAGGCCTCCGGGAAAAGCATTCTCTTTGTTGTGTTTCAACCCTTGGATTGAAAACTCCTCCAAAAGTG